GGTATGCGAGGAGGTGGGGGAGTGATGTGGTCGTCCACGTGTCCTCCGTGACATCTATCGATACCGTGCTTTGAAATTATTAGATTTGGGGTTTAAGTATGGTGTGGACAGGGACATACTCGATGATATGGAAGTACCCGCCCTCCTCATGCCTTCTTTTAAACCCGGAGGTGATGGCGTGAGGGATACTCAGCGGGAATTTATACCGCGAGGCTAGGACCCTGAAGGCGAGGAGGTAGGATGTACGCGAGGTCCTTGCGAAGTTCCAGATCGATTTAACAGAGGTGTGGCGGAGGACCTCGAAGATGAGTTCCGGGTGGAGGGGGATGGTGTTCTCCATTCTCCCTTTCTTTCTTACTCTGAAGTCTTTGTTTGAAAGGTGGGGGAGGGTGATAGAAAAGATTGGGATTAAGAGTACGCCTGAGGTACAGCTGATTACTTAATCTCCAGAATCTGATGAAGCTGGAATTTAATATTTTTATAAAGCTATATCCAATATCCCCGCCACCCGCTGGAAATGAAGTCTTGAACGGCCGATGGTGAACCCCAGAGCAATCCCAACAGCACGAATATATACCCAAACCCCCCTTCAATATCCACCCACAAAGCCACCCATAGACGTCGACGGGGTTTATCCCGCAAAAAAGGCCAACTCAATAGCCCACGATGCTCTCAAAACAGGCAGATTCCCCGCCCGATTAGGAAATAAGCTAAACCTGGAACTTTAGTGTAACCTCCCGCCGTCGCCAACACACATTCCCTCCTTCCTCCTCCTCTCCGCTTTCATACCTCGAGAGCACCGGTAGACGGTACCTGGGTGGACGCACGTAGTTGCATGAGGAGCTCCGAACTCCTGTCGACGTTCCAATCGTCTAGCTGTTGCGAATGCGTGGACACGAATACACCAGTGTCGAATCGTAGACGGGTTTATAGCAGAGTTCGACGTGCATGTTATGAAGCTGGTTCTGGCGGTTAAGCCCGACGGTATCACTGAAGTCCTACGTCGAACCATCAAACTGGTTTATAGTCAAAAACAATCGGTTTAAATATCGGTATGAAAAACAGTTTATGCCTCAGTAACGTTATACCCGCAGAACAAAAAAAGTACAATCTGTATGGAAATGTATAATGTAGGTCGATATGCCATCAAAATACCAGGTATTCGCAGAAAAAACAAATGCAAATTCGACACTTCTACTCCATAAAAATGCAAAACCGCTAAACGCCAAGAAGAAAAGAAAAACGGTTCTAAAGGATTTATCGTGCGGACATGTGTACCCAACCAAAAACCTGTATGGATATATGCATATGCAAATACTCAAAACCCCCCAAAATCAAAAATCCAAAGGGAACTCATCTATCCGAAGAGTAAAAGAATTGTAAAAAAAAAGGAAGATGGTCTAATACCCACTGGAAGAACTACTCCCAGCACTGGTCCCATAAACGCCATTCATCTGCGCCAACAAAGCAGTCTGCTCGTCAAAATAACTCCTCTCCTTCGTAGGCTTCACCTGTCGTCCCTTCATCGGTCGTTCCTCATCGCTGTCGACATCCCCCTCGACACCAACGATGACTTCAACAATCGGCTCCCCGGTGAACTCCTCCTCGTCGTTCCCGCCCCATTTCCAGAATTGCAGCCCGATGTACCCGTCCATCGCCAGAACTCCTGCGCTCCCCAGGAGGAATGGGAGGGTATTGGTCCACCATTCCGCCGTCGTGGTGCCGTCTTCGCCCACCCAGCCGCCCTCACCGAAGGAGGGGATGTTATGCCACGCGCTGGGGTTCAGCAGTAAACTGCTGGAATAAAAGAAATTCCCACAAAACGCAGCGAAGAACAACAGCGGTGAAAGCCCGGAGACCGAACGACGCTTGTGGTTCAAATAGATCTGTGGCAGCCGGGAGGATAGATACAAAAACGTCGAAGACCAGCCGATGATGATCCCCAACAAGCGGAGCGTGTCTTCGTCGAAGAAGGCAAATGTCGCGGCGGAGGTGGTGATGGGTGCGGCACGGGATAAATTAAAAAATGTCGAAAATGCCAAAAGTATCCCTGAGGCTCTACTCGTGCTCGCCGTGCCGCTGCGGCGGGCTGTGATGACCGAAGGCGGTGGGGTAATCATCACCGCCGCGGCTCGTGATTCCTTATCCCTCCCGCTACCACCCTCACTCGGTCGCCTGATGTCATCCGTCGCCGTCGTCGGAACAGGTGCGTACTCGGTATTAGTATTCTTCTTGGAATACTGGATCCACTGCCAGACTAACACAACATCCACGGCAACATAATACGCCGCGATGACTTTCTGAAATGTCATCTGGTTCAACAGCACCGCCCCGATGAAATTCGAGGAGTCGCCGAAGCACCATATCAAAATGAAGAGGAAACTCAGAGACTCGGACGATTTAAGCCTGTAGTTTTTGATGATTTGCGGTAACTGGGCGAATAGCCATGATGTGATGCTGAGGGTGCCGCAGAGGGTTGAGAAGAAAGTTGCGGTTGTCGGAATGCATGTTTGCAGCTGTTGGGAGACGAAGACTAGGAAGTCGTTCTGCGGGTGGCAGTAAGGGAGGGCGGGGAGCGGCGTGGTTGCATTTCCAGAGAAGATTGAGGAGTCCGTGAAACGGGATTTGAGCAGAAGGGACTCCATGATCGAAGGATCTGTGGGAAAAAAGAGAAAGAAGTCGAAGTCAGTATTTTATATCCATCCCGGTTTCATCTCCGCGAAAATAAAATAAAAATAAAAAAATAAAAAATTGTCTGAAGGATCCATCCATTCCGCCTCGTCCAAACTGTTGAAGCCCGAGCAGTTGGGCGATCCAATTGTGTTGCCTGTTGTGTTGGGGACCTTGGGACCTCGACAATCGAAAAAAGGATCACAGGACACCTGCTGGCCAAAGTGTGCACGAGGGGGGGGGGTTGGCTCACTAACCTTCCCAGCAAAAGAATACCTGTGCGGTACACCGGGTACCAAAGGTACTTTTGTCTCGTCGTCGAAAGTTCCCTCCGTTACCGCTGCTGCCTCTTATCTTTTTGTTGTTGGTTCTGTCCTCTTTTCTGAAATTGAAAATGAAACCGAATTCCAGTCGGGGTTCTCCGCGGACCAACTAGCAAATCTAAAGGGGACCCTGAACTAAAGTAAGGCAAAATATTGGTCTTGTAAGAAGAGATTCCTATCTCGCTGTTGCGCTGTGTCGTAGCAAATATGATCCCGAGATATCTTCGGCGTCCTTATCTCTCGCTTCCTTTACAATGTAATGGCAGTGTAGTAAATATCCCAACAGGTAAGAAATAATAATAATAAAAATAGATGATTGGAAAATGGACCGAATGGTAGGTAAATAATAATATATGCGAGTAAAGATAGGAAACCACGGTCACAAGAGCAGACAAGAGGGAAGGGCAGCTATTTGAGGAAGGGGGGTCCGAGGAGGAAGGAAGACTCGCCGTCCTTATGTATGACTGACTGACTTCCCGAAAAGCTGTTATCAGGAACCCTCACGAGCCCCCCGAAGTGATACTTGGTGCTGCATGGCCGCATTGATACTACGTAAGTAACGGCAATATTAAGTAATTCCAATCCACAGATTTTCGATTCAAGGCACACCTGACTCGACCCTTCCGTTATCTATTCTGGTGGTTTTTCCCTACACATCTGATCCTATCATTCCCCAACTTTTTTTCTTTTTTGTTTTCCCATACAAAACAAGGGTTTGTTTGAACCAATACCAGCGCCGCCAAAGGGGGGGACTCACACTCACACTTCCCTCGCACAGCCTAGGCTGTGTTATGGTTATGGGGTCTGTTATGTAGGGTCTCATCCGATATCTTTGCTTGGAAGAAACCCCGTATTACTCCGGTACGTGAGTACTACCCAAATAGTATCACCAGCGGCACCAGAACCCACCGTGACGTCCGTCATGCTGCAAAGCTAATCTGTGAAATCCAAGATCGGATCCCATCAGTATCCCCCCCAGCGGGTGCGAAGTTCAGCCGGGCTGCTCTTGCATGAGAAATCCAGCCTCTGCGGCATCGGGTTCGCATTCGGAGAGGACAGGAATAAGCGACCGAGAGTGAGCTGCTACAAATAGTCTAGAACCCTGCATTTGTTTATCTCCTCCAATGGGACGGGGAGAAAACTCTCCTGAGCTGCGCTAGCTTGTAACATTCCTCGGGATGTTTTTTTGCGAGCGTAACTTTATGGAATGTTGGTATGTACATACAGACAAGAGTAAAGTATTTGGGGGAAGGTATCGTGATACTTTATCGAATGGATTTGCGAATTCTTATCGACGGAGGACACATGGCTCTCGCGTGATGAAGCGAACAAGACCCCACGCTACAGCTACGATAAGACCTAAAACCAAATACTCACCGATATATACAAAATAGCATACCGTAATACATCTAATCTATATTCCCACGTCTTCGTCAAGCCACAAAAGGTGACGATGCCGCGTGGGCTTCCACCAGTCGCCACCACGCACAATATTCAAAAAGCAGAACCGACGTTTTACTGTAGCATGTAGAGGTATATACTTTTACCAGATCCAATCTGCACCATGACGCCCACCCGATCGAACCAATTAACCCAGCCGGTATCGTTAATATCAAATGCAGGGCACACGCACATGATACTTAACAAAACCAAAATATACCGCAAATCCAACAACATTCAACGCAACTCTCCAAACTATACAATCAATATTAATACATTTCCATGTAATAGCCCCAGTGAAGACTAACGAAGACAAAGGAAGAGGTATACCGATATGAATATACATCGCTGCATTCCCGCGGTAATCATGTGAGACCAACCCACCATTCCCTCAATATCGGTATACGTACCAGCCTCCAAACCAGACGTACATTTCCACACCAATATCCACAAAACACCCGTTCCAAAAATCAAAAGGTCGGGAATACCCATTCCATTCGTTCTCATCTCGATTCATCCCGTTTGTAACATCTATCCTACCAGTAATCCACCAAAAGGACAAAAAAATGCGGTGAGGGTGGATCGAACACCCGGCCTCCAGATAAACACAACCAAAGTAAATCTTCAGTCTGGCGCTCTCCCAAACTGAGCTATCCCCGCTACTCCATCTCCCCATCTCCTCATATCGAGCTCTCTCCTTCCGATGACCCCGGATCCATGTATCAGTCGAATAACAATTAGTGCTTCACATGGAGTGGAATGGTATAAAACCTGTATACAAAAGTTAACTAAACCTTATCCACAACTAAAACCAGCAGGAGCTCAAGCTTAGCCCTGCAATCACCCAGATAAGTAACTACTAACTACTTATCCCAAAGTACTTCGAGCTCCTAGATTAAGATACACATACACCCCAAGCGCCCGGGAAAAAAACTAACAGTCTAGAACTTTATATCAACTATACTACTACCGTTTCATACCACCTCGGAATTCCAATTACCCTAAAATTTCGTAACAGATAAGCCCCCCTGATCGTGTGATTCTTCACTAGCCACCCTTCAACCCCATCGTCAACCATCCAGAGAATCTCCAATGTCTCCAAAGTACACTGCTCACTTAGTCCAGAACATAAAAAACCGAAAAATACAACAAAATACAACACCTCCCGCCCTTATCAAAAACCGAGACTTCCAGAACAATCCCTCACTCCGACAAAACCAATCCACCTCCACCGATCACATGCAATTCCTGGAAAGAGATACCCAAAAGTAACCTCATCACCTAGTAAACATGACCCCAGCTACGTGGATACAATACTAAGGTACATGTACCACAATTAAAGAATTACATCTCATCCCACAACAGTTTTCCATATCCGCGGAAAAAGGCATAACCTAATAGAATAGAATAAACCAGAATATATAAATATAATCGCCATATCTTCAATATAATAAACCGCTTTTATAAAACCAATATAAATACACTTATCCCCCCAATCTTATACCCAATCCCAGGTTTTTTAGTTAATTTTTTCCTTTTGTCTTCCCGCCTTGAAACAAAGAAATTGTAAAAGCCGTGTAAAAAAGAAATCGATCCATAGAAAGAAAAGAAAGAGGATGATGCGTAGAAAAGAAAGGTCCATCCAGATTACTTCCCCACCGCCACCCCCTACCCAATAATAATAATAAAAGGTATAAGAATAATACAAAAGTAATCCAAAACTCGCCGTGCAACCGCTCAATGACCAGTCCAAAAGAAAGAGAAAGAAAAACCGGTATACACAAGTATTAACAAAAGAGCCCCTCCAATGAGTTATAATCAACTATAACCCACCAACCTCAACAACCCTCCTCCCCGCTCCAGCCGTAGCCTCAGCCGCCTCCGCCATCCGCTCCTTCACGACCTCGTATGTAGTCCGTACCACAATCCACGTCTTCCCGCCCCAACTAGTCAACAACGTAAACAGCACGAGCACAAATATCGGTAACTACCAAAAGTTAGCAATCTCCCTTCCATACTAAAGAGAAAAAAAGAAAAGGAATACCCACCCAAAAGAATAAAAGCCGCTGGTCGCCCTTAATCCGCTTCATCTTCTCATGATGTATCCTCAATGACTCCTGCTCCTCATCCGTCAAAAGCCTAGTCCGGCTCTTCCCCAAACTCTTCGACGACGAAGAAACCGTCGCAGCCGTCATCCGCTTCGTGGCATTCTGCGCGGCCACCGCTGTCGCTGCGGCGACTTTGGCATCCATAACCTGCGCCACTGCCTCCCCGATGGCACGCAACTTGTTATCGCCATCATTCGTGCGCGAGGTGCCGTCCGGGTATAACTCTTCGTAGGCCGGGGGTGCGTTCGGCGGCGAGAATAATTCCCACCATTTATAATCAGCATTAGGGCTTCCGCTTCCCTCCGTATTCGTCGGCCTGATAGCCCGCGAAGCAACAGGAGGAGCAACGGTAGGAGGAGCAACTGGAGCAACTGGGGGGGCAGCATTATCACCCGCAACCCGCTGACCCTGCAAAAGCGCATTAAATCGTGCGGTCTGGCCCTGCAGATTCTGTAAATTGAGATGCATCTGCTGCTGGAAGTTCTGAAGATTCAAGTTCGGCAGGTTCCAGTTCATATTATGGAAATTCGGCAGATTCAACGTCAGGTTCGCTAGCTGTTCTCGGATGGCTACCAACGCCGCGGCGGTTGCAGCAGCAGCGGGGGCGGCATCGGTTTCGTCGACTTGCATATCCGCCGGTAACGAGGAAGATACCTCCGCCAGGGCAGCCAAATTACTCTTGCTGGCAGACCTAGACAGCGGCTTCTCCGTCGTCCGTGGTATCATCGTGAGTTTACCCGACGCCAGATCCCGTAGATTCCGCCCGCTGAACGTCCTCTTCGGCCGGATCCACAGCTCCTCGTCATCGACCTCATCATCTTCCTCAGTATCTTCATCCGACTCCTCGTCATGGGTAGCAAACGGTTCCCAACTCGCCATAGCCGAAGCAATACTTCCGCTCCGACTTCTACGGCCGCTCATAACCCTACCAGGAGCACTGGAGACACTGCTGACCGACGGCCGACGACTCCTAGTTCGCCTGTTACCCAGCTCAGCACGAATGTCTTCAGCGTCGGTAAGGTCTTCGGGTGCGACACCGCTAAGACTGAGAATGTTGAAATCAGCTCTGTTCAATCTCAATCGTCTCACGATATCTTTATTGCCCTTGAGCGCCGCGAAATGGGCTGGTGTGAAGCCGCCCTTGTCTGCCGCGTCGGGATTAGCGCCGCGAGCCAGCAGGGCAGCCGTGAACCGGTTGTATCCAAGGGCGCAGGCATGGTGCAGAAGCGTCTGCCCTTGCCTATTCCTCAAGTTCAGCTTGGCGGGGAACGGTGAGTCGTCCATGTCGATGATGTCTAGGAGCTTGAGCAACTGCGCTTCCATATCCATCGAGGGAAGTGGTGATTGCAAGAACTGCAAGGCCTGTGCGTTATAGGTATTCCCAGAGGAATGTGTTCGACCTCCGCTGACCGAGCCACCAGCATTGCCAGGGCTCTTCTCGTCCATGAGCAGCCTCATGGCAATGTCCTTCGGCGGCTCAATCTTCCCGCTCCACTTTGCGTTGATGACTTGTAGTGCCAACGCCAACATCTTTTGCTCCGTATCATCAGTGTAGATAAACCTACCCGGACGACCTGGTAATGTGAGGTTCGCCTGAGCAGCGTACCTCATAACGACAGGCACGCTACCAGGGGTACTCGACGGCGGCAGGAGACAAACGATGGTTGTATCGCTCCAGTATTCGGTTCGCGGAGACTGCTTGTCCCCAAAGTAGACGGTATGGGATCGCTGGAATCCACTGCCGAGAATGGTAACCTCGATACCACCCTGACATGGGCCCTCAGTAGGGACGATACGGGTGATATCAAACGGCAGCAGAGCCTGCGAGAGCTGTCCGTTGGCGACATTGAGTAGCTGCGACTGGACCTGAGCGAACTGAGCCTGGGTGAATACCGGCCGTTGGCCTTGCTGGGGAACGCTAAACTGTTGTACGGGACTAGCAACTCGCGATGGAACGCGGGAACCTTGAGCGGATGTCGGGGCGGAGAATATTTGTAACCCGTGCAGGCTGTCAATACTATGGTTGCGGTTATGGAATCCAAAGTAATTTTGACTGGCTGCGTTATCCATAGGCGTGGAGGGCGTGAAAGGAACAGGCTGTGCCTGCTCGAACATGCCACCCATTGTAACATTTTGACTGGAAGGTGTAAACGGCTGTTGTGTGAATTGCGACTGTGAAGCTGACGTGGACGGTACGGACGTATCGATCTTTGTCATTGTGAGCTCGGATCTAGCTTTCGACGACGGATTGGCTTTCCGTTTCTTCGCAGAGGGACCAGCGGTTGCAGCGTACGGGGGTGGCGACTGCATAGCCCCCACAGACGACTGCCTCGAATTCTGCCGCGAATGGCCAGTCTTACTAGCCTTCGACGGCCGGTCGATTTGGCCCATCGTCAAAAGATTCGTGTCCGAAGCAGAATAGGGAAGAGCATTGTTGGGAGGGGCAGGGGCAACTGGGACAGGTCCAGGAGCAATGGCAGAGGGCGATGTGGCTCCCTTGGAAGACGGAGCGGCAGCCACTGGCTGTTGGGTAGCCGGCTGCGAGGGCGCATTGGTCTTGTGGTCGTCAGTGATGAGAATTGGAGGCGTGATGTTTTGGGCGACGAGATTGTCGTTGTGGTCCTTGATAGTGAGGATTATCCTGTATATAAAATTAGCGATATGATAGGTAGAGTGTTAAAATGTGGGTGTTTTACCTGAACCCGCTTTTCTCGCTCTGGTGTCTGCAGTAACAGGCTATCCTCATCGGTAGCCATATTTCCGCATTGCCCTCAATGCTGGATATAAGTTCTCCATCATTGGCCTCCATCTCCGCCTTCTTCTGTGCCTCCGGCGGGCCCCATTCGAGGACCTCAGAGCAGTTGAATACAATAATTCGCTTACTCTCGTCGCGTGCCCAAGATTCTTCTTCCTCCACTTTCTTGATCTTCTTCCGTGCCGCTCGTTTCCGTTCCCGAGTGATGCAGCCAGAGCATATCCTAACCTCGCCCCCATTCAGCGGTTTATCCTCTTCAGCAGTGTACCCTTCCTTGCCATCCTCGCCAATCGATTTCCCAGACCCAAAGACTCTTTCCTGCAGAGGATCGTCAATGGCCCGTCGTAACACTCTTTGTAGTAACTCCGGGCTCCCCTCAACGGAAGAGGCACAAATCAAACTCGTGTATAACTCCAAAGTGTCGGTGGTCTTCTGGTGTGGCGGCTTGGACAATAATTTCGGTTTCGAGATGGTATGCGTTGGAAGGTGCAGCTTAGATACTCCAGGCGGTAATGGTGCTAAATTCAAGTTGACCCTGATCTGTGTTTCCACCCTCGACTTCTCATTGATCCTGCCGCCAGGTTGGTCGCCTCTTAGTGTTAGCTTGCACGAGAAATCGCCGCTGCCACCGGTGGGTGTCGGTGTATACGCGAGCATATTCGGCATCGGCGAAGCGCTGGAAAACGAAGATGGGCTCCACATGTTGCTTATGCTAAAGGCCTTTGTCGGACGGAATCCTGTAGACTTCATGAGTGTCGCCGTTGCCTCGTCCTCGCCGGATGTACTTGTCGAATTGT